TTTAAATTTAGCACACTTCAGTAATTTAAGTGCGTTCAGTTGACATTCAAGCTTTACTTATTATATATTCATTAGACCTGTACTAACTTACTCGCATTTCACATTCTTAGTCCTCGCATGATTCTCTTTCTTAGCAAACTACGAGACGCTATTGATAAGAATCCTTATCTTGGTTTTCAAATTTTACAGTTAAGAGGAAATAGGAATGGCACGAACCGTTTTAAGTCAGCGCGCTAGTGATAAGAAACTTTATCTTGGTTTTCAAATTTTACAGTTAAAGAGAGATGGCATGAACCGTTCAGTCGGCGCTTTGTTGAATGCTATTTCAGCGCTTCATCAGGCTTTAACACGAGACACTTTACTTTGTCAACGTATCGTATTCTGACGGTAACTCGATTTACCAAACGGTCATTTCGATTCAATTATAGTTCACAAAGAATATAACCTCCTTGTCAACTGAAGGTAATTCATGTTAACAGGCCTTCATTTACGAAAAACATTGACGTCTGGCAATGTATTTACAAACTAAATGCTTTTAAATGTTTTCTTTCTTAGTGAGAAGGAAGCCAACGCAGCAGCAGTCGGTCCATATACCATAAGACACGAGCGACTCTAGTAGTGTAACTTGTACCTTACATGGCGCGCTCGACGACGTCGTGTTGACTTCAACCATCTGCTAGGGAACGTTCTCTCAGAGAAATGTGTTCCACTTTGTCCAAATATTGAAGCACATTTTACGTACACGTGGATAATTGTGACGTTTATTTGGTCCGACAAATGGGTGTGTCAATGCTACGTACATAAAATGTGTCACTAGGTATATGGACAATATGAATATCGTTGATTTTTCTGAGTGTTCGTGACTGACCAAATTAACTCAGATTTTGGTAACTGACAAAAAAACTTGCAGTTGAGGCTGTAGTTTCATTATTACGATGAGAATCATTTACCGTGTCTGCTTTGTTCGAGTAAACCGCAAATGGGAAAATTACTAGATTTTGGTTGTTTAGTCCATAACTTGAACAATTTTGATTTTCTCAAACTTTGTTGACCTCTTTTTTTATGAGCGATTAGATTTATTAATTTTATAGTATTTTTAGTTCTAATATCCTCAACCGAAACGCTTAGCAGAAAAATACCGAAATGATCTTTACACTGAGCTATATAAAAATTTATTTTTAAATTTAACGAGATGACAATTGTTTGATACCGGTGCCTAATTATTGGTGACTTTGATGTGTTTTCCACCGTATAGTTTTCTGTGTAGCGTTGAATTTATTTGAAGCTAGTGCTTGTCTCGGGTTATCTTTAGTTATCGGTGAGTGATCGTTGGGTTCCCACCTGTGTAGTGTGTGACTGCGTAGCTGACGGCGTATCTATTAAAAAAAAGTATACCCTTATCTCGCCCCAGAGCCGTCGATGCTGCGCTTATCAATGATAATAAAGAGAAGCTATATTATCATTATTATTATCAATGATAATAAAGAGAATTATTATCAATGATAATGAAGAGAAGCTATATTATCATTATTATTATCAATGATAATAAAGAGCAGCTGCCGACGTGACTTTGGTGACTTGAAGGAGGCATATACGGTGCTTCTGGGGAAATTATCAATAATTTGCGACTTAAACGTACGGTACGATATATAATTATTTAAATCAGCATATATTTTATTACATGTTCTGCAACTTAATTATGTACATAATTACATGCTTTAATTATGTACTGCAAATGCAATGTCGAGAAATTCCGGCCTAGCATGTGCCTGTATTATTTAACGCTACCGAAACTTTTGTTATCTACTCGTAGAACTCGCAGGATCTTGGAGGTAATGTTTTAATATATACCTAATTATTCTATCGATATTTGCAATATTTCCGTAACGTTACCACTACGAAACATTTAAAATAAATTGAATTTTGCTTTAACCGAGATTCAAATTTACTCAAGTTGAAAACAAATTGTTATACTGTATCAATCTTCTGATTATTACTTTTATAATTAGAAAGCTTTAATTGCAAGTTAATATTTTTTTAATAATCGATTAATAAATTGCTAAATTTCCATTGAAACTGCGCTAATTTTTTATTAAAAGTATTGACGAGGCTCGGGGTTGCGCGCGCACTGCAATGGTTTTGAATTTATCACTTGATACTTGAGCCTAAATTGGACCTCTTATCTGGCAGACGCGAGTCCAGTTTGCTCATCAAAATGAGTAACAAAGTCGCTCTTGTTGCTGAGTAGCTGCTGCTGCTGTAGTATCTTTCCTCGTGCGAGCTTCGCTGCAATTTATCGTTCCTACTTGTGCGTGCGAATCCGCTTTAGTCGCCGAACAGTGGAGCTTGTATGGCTACTGCAGTCTGATTGGTTTGTATGGCTACTGCAGTCTGATTGGTTTGTATGGCTACTGCAGTCTAATGGGGTTGTATATGGCTACTGCAGTCTAATGGGGTTGTATATGGCTACTGCAGTCTGATGCATGCAATGGGCGGTCAAGTGTTTGGTTCCTGTATGTAGATCGAATCGATTTGTTTATCAACAGGATATCAATTTGAATTTGCTTATTGGGCATATCTTCTTATTTTTCCGAATTGCGATCAAGACGCACTTTAATGCAGATAATTTTGGGCGACTACGAAGTACAAAATATTTTCCGATGACGGCCGAAAACAGTGCTGATGTCCTCTGAATCTATTGAAGTCCTCTTTTGAAGTCCTCTTTTGAAGTCCTCTTTTGAAGTCCTCTTTTGAAGTCCTCTTTTAATGTATTTATTACTTTATGGTTTAGTTCTAATAAAATTGTTCAGGAGTTCCCAACTTGAAGACAAATTTACTCGAGTATTCGTCTAAGCCAATAAAATTGTTACCAACTTTTTTCCTGTCTTCTGCGAACACAAAAATGTTTTCGACTACTTCATGGACGTTTTAATTGTGTTCTTACGAGCAAAAAATTCAAGGTGTTCAGAAATTGTCGAAAAGCTGCAAAAATGAAGATTGTTTAAAGGAGAAGCTGTTTTTCGGCCGTGTAAACACTTGAGACGCGCAGGAGAGCGAAGCTTCGGTCTCGTATACAAGAAAAATCCATGGGTTGGTTCTTCAATCGTACAAATTTTTCAAGTTGATTTCACAGAACGTATGAGTAGTAAATGCTCAAAAACTTTTTACTTGCCGCCAAAATTGTTCCAACTTCGATTGGGATTCTCTGATTTAGAGTAAACTAGCATCAACGTTTGATAATAATTTTATTAGATTTTTCATTGCCGTGTACTGAATCAAGTTTAAATTCAAATAACAACATTGTTGTATAACCTTACTCGCGGTAAGACAGTTTCTAAACCGATATAGCGCTATTTATTGATGTGTTTTCAGCTTTCATTGTTCTTATCTCTCATCTTTTATGGATGTAATTCGATTCAAATTTGAAACTTACTATCTCTCAGAAACTTGCTAGTTAATCTAGTCAATAGTACTAATTCCGTTCGAGTAAAATCACGTTACTGTCAATAATCAAGTTACTGTAAAATCAAGGCACAGTCAGTAATCAAGGTACAGTAAAATCAAGGCACAGTCAGTAATCAAGGTACAGTAAAATCATGGTATACTGTCAGTAATCAAGGTAGTCAGTAATCAAGTTACAGTAAAATCAAGATACTGTCAGTAATCAAGTTACAATAAAATTATGGTACAGTCAGTAATCAAGTTACGGTAAAATTATGGTACAGTCAGTAGTCAAGTTACAGTCGGTAATCAAGTTACAGTAAAATCATGGTATACTGTCAGTCATCAGGTCACAGTAAAATCAAGGTTTACAGTCAGTAATCAAGGTACAGTCAGTAATCAAGTTACAGTAAAATCATGGTATACTGTCAGTAATTAAGTCACAGTAAAATCAAGGTATACAGTCAGTAATCAAGGTACAGTCAGTAATCAAGTTACAGTAGAATCAAGTTACTGTCAGTAATCAAGGTACAGTAAAATCAAGTTACTGTCGGTAATCAATTTACAGTAAAATCAAGGTACAGAATTCGGTCTCATATGCGCCCAGTTATTGCATAGTTCATGTCAACATTCGGTCTCATATGCGCCCAGTTATTGCATAGTTCATGTCAACATTCGGTTTCATATGAGCCAAGTTATTGCATTATTCAGGTCAACATTCGGTCTCATATGCGCCAAGTTATTGCATAGTTCATGTCAACATTCGGTCTTACATGCGCTCAGTTATTGCATAGTTCATGCCAACATTCGGTCTCATATGAGCCCAGTTATTGCATAGTTCATGTCAACATTCGGTCTCATATGCTCAGTTATTGCATAGTTCATGTCAACATTCGGTCTCATATGCGTCCAGTTATTGCATATAGTTCATGTTTATTCGGTCTCATATGCGTCCAGTTATTTCATAGTTCATATCAACATTCTTCCTATCAAAGATGTGGAGAAGTGCGAACTTAGAGCCTAACTGTGGAATTTGAACTTTGCTCTCATTCTGCTATAGAAGTTTGAATTGATCGACGATAGGTTAAGCAATCGATTGCCGCTCAACCGAAAGCAGCCGATAAATTTAAAAATTTATTACTTGAGTTGGAGTGGTTTTTGACACACGGCGATGAATAATCAACTAATATGACGATTTTATTTCGGAACGAAACCATTTTTTAAATTATATTCAATTATTTGTATCAGAATGGTTGAGGTTATAAAATTGTCTCTAGTTATTATTTAGGCAAAGTAATATTTTTTCAAATTTTCAATATTGATTGGATGAATTGCAGAGATATCAGTCATTTCACTTGAATGAATCCATGTAGATGCGAAAAAATAGCATTATTTAGAAATGAACAACGGTATTTACAAATACTGATATGACACATTTTGTTGCTTTCTCAATGTGAAAGGCAATTTGATTTCTGCAATTTTGAATTAGTTTTCATTCTCGTGTATCAAATTATCAACTTTGGAGAACGGATAAACTCCTTGTTTTTTTTTTTTTGCAGATCGAACAGTGAAGCTGATTGATGGCTGTCACGTGAACGAAGCACCGGACTGTGGCTGCAAATATGTGTCTTCTAAAGTAGAAAAAAAAAATGAAATATTTTTTCGTTATGATCTTTAAACGCCTATTGCAAATGAAATTAAAAATTTGCTCAACCAAATGCGAGTCATTGAACTGTATATAATTCAGGCACAGCTAAGCCAACATAAAAATTAAGTCCAAAAATTTAAAATAAACTTGAACTCGTACTCCCATGTCAATACATAAAAGTTAAGTACAAAAATTTAAAATAAATTTGAACTCCCATGTCAATGATGATCATAACAAAAATGTTTTTATCGCAAAATTTTGGCACAGCTAAGCCAACATAAAAATTAAGTCCAAAAATTTAAAATAAACTAGAACTCGTACTCGCATTTCAATGATGATCATAACAAAAATGTTTCTATCGCAAAGATGAGAATAAAAGAAAATTTGCACCTGGTGCTGCTGGTGCTTGTTCTCCTGGTGGAGGCAGCCCATAGCTGGATAGTGGGAGAACCCTCTGAACCCGACGACTATTTGAACGCTGCTAATAACATTGAAATTTCCGATGGCAGCAGTGAAGTTACCAACCCGCGAAGCTTCATTAGCAATACTAGTTTTAGCTCGCGCAGACATGACTACCCAGAGCCTTTCAGAATCAAAAGGGAAGTTGAAGCTCCACCAATAACTTACAGGAGAAAAGAAGAAGAAGACGGCAAATACATCGGACTTAATGGTGAGTTATACTTCTAAAATCACTTTGTAACATGTTATTTGTTTGGAAAATGTTTGTTATTAGTTTTTGATATAGAATGCACTTATTTATAGATTGCCATCGAGAGTTATATCTCTAAAATCACTTTGTAATATAATATTATTTGTTTGGAAAATGTTTGTTATTAGTTTTTGATATAGAATGCACTTATTTATTGAATGCCATCGTTTAAATGCACCGCTGTAAATTTTTTTTTTCTTGGAATGGTTGTCTTTAATTTTCACTTATCCTAGACGTCTACTTGGTCGATGTCCGAATTTATCCCGTGATCTCAAATCAGTAAATGCTTAATTATCACGTATTCCATTAATTCTTGCATATTTAACGCGCATTTTATTCTTAAAATTTTCGCGAATTTCATTTTTATATCTTTCACGTATTTCGCGTATGCCTAGCACCATATCGATCCCGGTGGAAGTCTGGTACAGCTATTTCAAACTATCGTCAGTCATGAAAAGATCCGGTCAAATGACACGATTTTAGATCTTCTGTGAACAAGGCACGAAAAGGAAAAGAATCGGCGACAGGCCACATCAGGCCTACACTTCAGCGCTGACACTGCCATGTTATGTTATGTTATGTTATGTTATTCCTCAATTTTTCCGTTATTGCAGAACTCGGCGAAGTGGACCGCTTCCGAAGCCCGGCCGCTCAGAGCTATCGAACTCTTCTGTTTGACCCCGACAACTATCAGCTCATAGTCGGCGCAAGGTACCATGATGAAGAACTTGATCGCTTCGATGCTTTAAATTTACAGCTTCTTAAAATAATGTTGTTCGGAAAATTAAGTTTTTTGAATTATATTGACTTTTGATTCAATTTTTTATGTAAAATTTTTTTTTTTAATTTTTTGTTTGATTGGATTGGACACAAAAGATGTCAATGTAGCGAATAAACTTTATTCAACGCCAAAACGAAGTGAGTAAATAACGGCCAATTAAAGAGCAGATAACCATAGTAGTGGTTCGCATTTTAATTGCTGTTATCAGTAAAAGTACAAAAATCAACGGGTGAGTATAACAATATTGAATTCAAAGGAACAAGTCCCTGTTAAGCAAGTTATGTCTCTATATCAATTCTCACCGTTAAATCGCGGGTTACAGAATAAAATTTAGCAGCCGGTTACCAAGAAGCAAGTGGATAGGCTTACGTTAAGGTTAAGTTGCAGGTTTCGGAGATACGGTGGATTCTTATCTGGTAAGAGCAGATAAGAGGTTTGAACCTATCTTATAATTAATTGGAGGAATTGCACAAAGTATTTCTGAAAATAATAAAATAAAAAAAAAATCCGACTAATAATGGAATTAAGTAAACAATTTGTTTCCTTTAATACATTTAGACAAGTGTTCTCATTGAGAACTATTAGAAAGAAAAAAGGGAAAATAGTACAAGGTGTTCGTTCGTAATTACTGGTGTCAAATAATGGTATGCAAACATGCGAAGTTAAAGCCAAGCTCTAAGGCTAGAAGTTAAGTTGATTTAAGCGCAGAAGCTAACACAAACCCCACGGAGCCACACAAACCCCACGGAGCCACACAAACCCCACGGAGCCACACAAACCCCACGGAGCTACACAAACCCCCCGGGGTTCAACCACTGGCGTGGATTCAGTTTAATAAAGACCTAAACGAACGAGCAGAGAAGCGCGAACACGCCATTTAATTTAATAAAACCGAATGAAACAACATTCGCACAAACTCAAATTAAGTTCGAGAATAGCAAAATTACCCGAGGGTAGTAACACGGTTAACACGGTTTAAACACGATGTCAGCACACAGGTAAGGTTAAGGGTAATGATAATTACTATCGAGGTAATGAGCGTCGACTTCGCCTTATAACACGAGACTAACAATAAGCTTATGAGCAATAATGACGTAATTAGATAGTAAATTTTAACAATAGTACTTTTTTGCAGCTCTATGCCAATTGCCAAATCATTTAATAGCCTAATATCATCAATCTTACACAGCATTATAATAAACCTATAATATATACGTCATATTAGGTAAGTTAGTTATCGATTGCAGCTGCTGGAGACAATATCTCCACAATCAGAAGCATAGGGAATCTTGTGGTCTGCTTTATCAATTAGAAGTACGAGATGACGTAAGCTTCTGATTAAAATACATCCGTAAACAAGAATGATTTTCAGCCTCATGTACTGTAAAATCTACCAACTTATAGTAAATCATTTAAAGTGCTTTTGAATACCTGAATATATTTACCAATTGTGCCCAAAATATTAAAGGATTGACTTTCAAAATTAAGAAAACATGATGAGTCTTTGCTCGGATTATTTATTCTTTTAAGATACGACCGATCTCAGATATTTCTGTGCCTAAAGGGAGCATAAAATTTTAATTTATATTTGCAGGGATTACTTGTTCCGTCTCAAAAATGCTTGTGTGCTTAAAAAATTGAAATCTTACTCTTTACATTGCAGGGATTACTTGTTCCGTCTCAAAAATACTTGTATGCAAGAAATTTCAAATCTTACTCTTTGCATTGCAGAGATTACTTGTTCCGTCTGAGTTTGACGGGCTTTCACGTACTGGAGTCAGCGTCGTGGCCCTCAGACTCGAGCACCGTGGTGATGTGCGAGCTTAAGGGCCAGGATGGCTACCACTGCCACAACTTCGTCACGCTTCTGGCCACGCACGGCCACAGGCTTCTGGCCTGTGGCACCAACGCCTTCAAACCTTTGTGCTCGTGGAGGAGGTGCGAGATTTGATTTTTGTTCAGTTTATGCCAAAGACGTAAATTAATTAATTAATATAAATTAATTTTAATCAATTTATCTTTTAATGTGTCTCTACATGGATGAGGTGCGAGATTTTTATTTTTGTTCAATTTATGCTAAAGGCATGAAATAATTTTAATTAATTTGTCTTTTAATGTGTCTCTCTACGTGGATGAGGTGCGAGATTTTTATTTTTGTTCAATTTATGCTAAAAAGACGTAAAATAATTAATTAATATAAATTAACTTGAATTAATTTGTCTTTTAATCTCTCTCTCTACGTGGATGAGGGGCCAGATTTATATTTCTTTTCAATTTATGATAAAGACATGAATTAATTTTAATTAATTTGACTTTTAATCTCTCTACGTGGATGAGGTGCGAGATTTATATTTTTTTAATTTATGATAAAGACATGAATTAATTTTGATTAATTTTTTTAATGTTTTTCTCTACGTGGATGAGGTGTAGGCTTTGTTTGTTTACACGATTTAATGCTGCGTCTCTTGACGGTAACTCAAGTTACTAGCAGTTTAGATAAAAATGACATTGATGACGGTTGATTTATCCGTCCACGTGTTAAAAAAACCATACCAAGTAGTTTCAATTTCAATTAAGCTAAATTTTTCCATTATTCACTGAAAGAAAAAAGCTAACACCATCCCGGCAACTAGATTTCAGTCAATTTTCTAGTAATTTGTTCTCGCTCGAGGACGATGGAATTGATATATCTCAACTTGTTAGTTAATAGTTTGCCGATGATATTTTATATCCATGATAACGTACGAAAATTATTTGTAAACAGAATAACAAATCTTATTTCTATCTAGAAAAACCCACATGTACATTCATAAAAATGCTCAGTGATGGTCATGCCAACTGATAATTGCATTTTTCACGCTTTTAATGCTGGCACAAGCTAATGGCTATTAAATGTATGATTTATAAATTGAGAACAACTTATAATTTTCAAGTTTGTTTATTTTTAGCGCATTTCTCATTTATGGAAAAAAGGCGCTATTGTGCTCGTCATGTCCGTCCGTCTGTCTGTCCGTCCGTCCGTTACTTCACGTTTTCGTCGAAGAGAAAATGCGCTCTCTGTCACTCACTGCAGTTAGTACTGAGTTATATTTTTTCCCATCAGTATTTCTTCACTATCCAACATGGAAGAAACCATGAGTGGTGTCGGCCAGTCTCCCTTCGATCCTGACCACTCCAGCACTCACGTCATGAGTGGCGACGGCAGTCTCTTCGTAGGAACATTTAATGACTTCCAAGGTGAACCTTTCCGTAAAATTAATATTGTTTAGTTTAGTAAAAATTTAAGATTGAGTAATAGTGTCTTCAGCATAGAGTTCTTGAACAACAGGAGACTTCGATATGATGCCTTCCATCGAGATTATTTTTTAACCGAAATTAAGTTATTTGGTTTCGGTACGATTTCATAACATGAACTTTTTTATTTTAATATGAAGCTTTGGTTTTTTCATCTAAATTGCTTATGTCTTTTTAACCATCAAAGACTCATGATTTGCAATTTCATGACACTTTCAAGTCACACTTTTTTCAAAACCATGAGACATTTATCGAACATGAATGTTCCACATGGGAAGATAGCTAAAACTAATTGCAAAATTAAACCTTCATTGTGTTATTTACGTATGCTATATTACTAAACTATGGTAATATGTTAATCAGATTTACATATAACTTTTCTATTATATTTACGTGTGCTTTAGTATTAAAAAAAACATGTATTACAGGTCGTGATCCGGCTTTTATGCGGATGGAAGGTCCGCGAAGCTGGCTGCGGACCGACCAGTACGACTACAAGTCGCTGTCACAGCCTTCATTTGTCTCCTCGTTCGAGGCCGGTGGCTTTATTTACTTCTTCTTCGACGAGCTCGCAGCTGAAACACGAAGCTGCTATGAGGTTCGATAAAATTAATCGTATGGTGGAAATTAATCAAAATGGGGGAAAATTGATAACTTACCTATTTTAAATTAATCGTATACGATTTGATGAGTAATCTTACAAGTGAAGGGGTGTTTTCCTTCCAAAAAAATCTAGTCTGTTTCTTAATAAAGAAATTTCTGCATTATTAAGAAATTAATAGGAGGTCTAATAAATTAAGGGTCTACCTAGTTTTTCGATACCGTGTATATATGGTGATTATACTTCACTGCCACTGCCCTCAATTCATAAGGAAAATTTATTTCCTACAATGAAAATTTTTGCGTCGAGTCCAATTCAAAATTAGGGTTTTCTTATTTATATTGTACAATGAGTTTGTACAACACATTTTGTGTTTGCCTCTTAGGTTACTATTGTTTTTCTGTTATAAATTTATTGTTGAATTATTTTCGTTTAATACATTGGGACCAATTGTTTAGGCCATCAATATTATGTTTGTCGTAGCCTTCGTCTCTTGAATTTTATAATTTTTTAGCGTTCAATCGATCGTGCCTTTTTTTGTCAATCTTCAAGCATAGGTACTGCGATAATCAATTTAAATTGCAAACAATTTCTGCGTTTGATTTTCTGGTCATCAATCATGTGTTCATTGTTGCTTTCATCTCTTGAAATTTTAAAGATTTTCCGATCAATCGATGGTGTACAAAATTTTTTTGGCCATTTTTCTTCAGGCTTAGTTTGCTGTTCTACTGAATTCTAAAATATTTTCAGCACGTGTTGCCACGCATTGGACGCGTGTGTATGGACGACCCGTGTGTATTTTAAATTTCAGCGTTCGATCAATTGTGAATAATTGTTTGGTCATCAAACATGTGTTCATTGTTACTTTCATATCTCGAAATTTTAAATATCGTTCGGGCAATCGATGGTGACAACTTTTTTTGCTCATTTATTCAGCCAAGTTTGCTGGTCTTCTGAATTTTAAAATATTCTCAGCGCGTGATGCCATACATCGGACGCGTGTTTTTTGGTCATTTATCTTCAGGCTAAGTTTACTGGATTACTGAATTCTAAAATATTTCCAGCGCGTGATGCCGCGCATCGGACGCGTGTTTTTTGGTCATTTATCTTCAGGCTAAGTTTGCTCGTATCCTCAATTTTGAAATATTCTCAGCGCATTGGGCGCGTGTGCATGTTTATAAATATTCTCAGCGCGTGATGCCATACATCGGACGCGTGTTTTTTCACTTTTTTGGTCTTTTATCTTCAGGCCAAGTTTGCTGGTCTCCTGAATTTTAAAATATTCTCAGCGCGTGATGCCACGCATCGGACGCGTGTGTAGTATAAATTTTTTTGGGCCATTTATCTTCAGGCCAAATTTGCTGGTATCCTGAATTTTAAAATATTCTCAGCGCGTGATGCCGCGCATCGGGCGCGTGTGTATGGACGACCCAGGCACTCGTGGCCACGTGGACGCGTGGACGACGTTCCTGAAGGCAGGACTAGACNACGTTCGAGTAAGATCTTCAACAGATTTTGCCTGGGTTTGAAATTCGAAATTTTGATGTTTTGGGATCACTACGTTCGAGTAAGATCTTCAACAGATTTTGCCTGGGTTTGAAATTCGAAATTTTGATGTTTTGGGATCACTACGCTCGAATAAGATCTTCAATAAATTTTCCCTGCGTTTGAAATTCAAAGTTTTGATATTTTGAGAAATTTGGAGTTAAGTAGTCTAATATAATAAATTTAATAATAAAATATGAATAATGATATTTTTGCTCTGGTTGTATTGTTATGTCGAAAAGCTTTGATTAGGCCTGGTTGGCATATCGCCGATTCTTTACGAACCGGCCATCTTGCCGATGTAGACTAAAATTTGCATAACTATTTGCGGGTTTCGAATCGTCAACTCCTAACCACTCCTCCGGCGATAATGGTGCCTCGGATAACCGCCGTAACCAGTTACCTGACATTTATGCTATTTACATATGTGAACTTCTTAACAGTAGAGATATTTGTTATGAGAAATTCCACTTGTGTTAATGGCAAAGAACAACAGAATCAGTTGGTTTGTTGATATGTAACGTTCCTTTCGTGTACAAAATGGATTGGTTGCGTATGCGATTACATTTATCCGTTGTGATATTATTAAATATCGGCCAATAATAAGTTGAAAAAAGATGGGATAGTCTGTGTATTAATTATAGTTGACAGCACATGGAGCTTATTGTTATACTGTCGAAGTTTCTGTCCAGCTTTAGAAGTTGATCTTATGCTTGAATAAGTTATTGTGTCTGTACTAATTTTTTCGTAAGTTAAGTTTGACAGTTTCGCGTCACGAATATTTGGAACAGATAATATTCCCGATTCCTCCAATCCGCATACCTAAGTAGCAGTTAGATATTAACACAGTCACTTCAAATTGTTCCTGAATAATGTTCATGGCCGGATCTGTACCAAGCAACAAATAAATCCACTATATTATCTATTTGTCCCTAACCTCTGTGACATCGAGACTGACTACCAATTCTTATAGTTGATTTCGGTTCTAACCGTTCTCGACAGAAAATAATCACAATGAATCCATCCGTTTTTTGTTTAATTTCCGAAGTTGAACATTTATTCGCATATGTTATAGTTTTTGCCTACATTTTTCTTAAATTCGGTTTAAATAAAATGAATATAATATATGAAATTATGAATCAATGTGCGCAGGGTTCCCTGTACATCGCGACTGAGGATGAGATCGTACGTGTGCCGGTGCACCACTGCTCACGTTACATTTTTTTCTTAAATTCGGTCTAAATAAAATAATTATAATATATAAAACAATGTGCGCAGGGCTCCCTGTACATCGCGACTGAGGATGAGATCGTACGTGTGCCGGTGCACCACTGCTCACGTTACATTTTTTTCTTAAATTCGGTCTAAATAAAATGATTGTAATATATAAAACAATGTACGCAGGGTTCCCTGTACATTGCGACTGAGGATGAGATCGTACGCGTGCCGGTGCACCGCTGCTCGCGGTACGCCAGCAGGAGCGCATGTTTGGCC